AATTTAAAAACAATTTATATAGTCCTATTTATACTACCGGCCTTTGATAGGGGGGAAAGATTTTGTTTTCTTGTCTTTTGACTTTTACTATGTGCTCTATAGATCCATTATATCGTATTTATTCTTATAGCTACTTAGAGGCTAGAGTAGAGTGTTAGTCTATACTTGCAAACCATCAATGCAATTTTTAAGATTTAATAAATTAAAAACCTTAAACATAATATTGAATTGCAGTTAAGCTTTTTTCAAATATTATAGTTAACGTTAACTTGAAAGTAAAACCATTTTTTGTGTCGATATATATTATTTTAAAAGCGCTTATCTAAGAAATATGACATTTTTAATAGTGTCGAGTGTCGACATTACGTAATGTATTAAAAATACATTTTCTAAATTATTAATAGGTAACCTACCTACGTATCATATATATAAACAACACGACGATTCGACCTTTAACAGTAAACATGTATTATCATAATTTATTGAGATTTGAGATGATGTCATCGCACTATTTGTTTACTCTTTCTGACCTACGTGAAGCACGGCAAATTTAGGTTTAGCAGAACTAATCTTGTGTTAGCCTGCATTATTAAAGTGAACTGAYCGTTTATAAAACTTCAAGATAAGAACTTTATCTGTGTTAATATATAGCATTTTTTACGATATTTCAATTTTTCTGCGATATATAAGCAATTTTAAACTGTAATGTTTTGCATACTCATAACTTGGATTATTATATGACTAGGTGTTAATAGGTAATCAATAATCATGTTATACATAAAATTAACGATTTATTCGAAATTTTCTAAGTATTATAGATATATAGGATATATATCTATAGTATATATAAAAACAACTTAAATGTATCATATTTTAAAAAGAAAGACATTTTTTATGTAAATTGACACTGCACCTTGTAATTAAAAAATCGTTCATTCGTTGTTTTGTAGCTGTTTTATAGATATGTACAGTGAAAACTCTCTATAACGAATCTGAAGGGAYCATGTGATTTCTTTCGTTATATTGAGAGTTTTCGTAATAAAGAGTAATTAATAGGTTTTAAATCAAACCAACCATTATAAGTTAACTTAAATGTTATTTACGTAATATAATAGAGTTTTTCGTTGTAACGATTTTCGTTATAAAGAGTTTTCACTGTATATATAATATATATATAAATCATCACTTTTATAATTATAATAAAATATATAGTAATATTATTATTTATTATTTTGGTATTAACGTGTATAAAACTATAAAATATAATTATCAATACCATTTATGACATTTTTCCATACATAATAATATATACATAATTATAATGATGAATTTCTTGACGTTTTATAAAGAAACCAATTATATTATAATTTATTCGTATTAAAATATTGGAGACAACACCTTAAAAAAACATAGATAATACGACTAACGACGATAAATGTTTAAAATGTATTGAAAAGTGATTGTGTTATACAGTAATAAAAATATAGATATGTAAGACAACATGTATTTCTATAAATAAATGGCTTTGAAAATTAAATTAACTTTTAAATACTATACAAAATGTTTATATTTCTATTGGACACAAATTTTTAAGGTTATTTTGTGTGAAAATAATATTTAAAAATATCCTGCTCTTGAATACAAATTTGCCTTGTTGCGAGTGGGTAAGATGGAGAAAACATATAATCCTCTGAAATTCTCTTCGCAATTCTAATTGGTTATTTTCTCGGCAAATTAATTCTAAACAATTTAAAGTTTAAACATAATCCATAAGAAAAACGTTCAGGCTCAATCGAGGCTGTCAAGTGGCAGCCACTTGTAGTCACTTGGTGACACATTAGTCTGATTTTTTAGTGTGATTCGCACAGATGTGTGGCCAGTGTGACCTACCAATATACTTAGAATTAAACATAGGTGGCAGGTGAAATATATATTATATACTTATAATAACTATTTACTATTATTATATTTGAATTTTCGTAAACATCGTATACGTTATACACATATTAAAATATTAATTATTATTTGCTATAGCCTAACAGCCTAAGTCACTAAGACTAGTAAGACTATATACTCGACACTCGTATTCCATAACCATCAGATGGTAGATGCGTCTCTCTGAGTATAGAAAATAACGTTTACAATTTATCAATTATATCATCTCACATCTTCTATGAAGGTACCTACCGTRTTTCCGTTTAACGTTACTCTAAAAAGTAAATCTTATCAGTACGACTGTAGGTGTATACGTAAATACCTACTCTGAAAATTGAAGATTCGTATTAGTTTTAGAATGTGTCGAAAAAACCAAACCAACTGGCAATTATGAACAAAAATACAAAATGGTAATTTTTACGTAGGTAAAACAAATTTTTGAAAAAAATCAATTTTATTATTATAAGTGTAACTCTAAAACTTATAATCATCTTGAAATTTTTACCAAACATTTAAAAAATATTTTGACCTTTTTTTTAGCTATTTATATTTTATAGTCATGAATAAATTTTAAAAATTTAAAAAATATTATTCTATTAGACATTTATAAAAGTTTTTCTTTGTATTGTTAACATTAGACATTTTAATTAAAGTTCCCAGTAAGTTTTTTTAATTTCTTAAAAAAAAATTACCGTAAAGTTATGTTTTATTTTATAGCTACCTATGAAATATTTTTGATTTTTCTTATTTTATTATTTAGGTGGGAGGACATAGCGTTTCGAMTCAGAATTGTAAATCGAATTCAAAGATTTTTCATTTCAATGAGGATAAACATCCATTATGACATGCTTGATCATACAACAAAGCGGCACCCACTTATTTTAAATTATTTATATTAAAATTAAAAATATTGACGAAATTATATATACAACTGTGTAGTTATTTTATTGTAATTTAAACATATTAATCGCGGGAAATTGTAWTTTTTAAAGTATCTATAAACTCGCATCATTATATTTTATACACGAATTTTCAAATGCAAGTGTTTTTTTGGCAAAAATTAATTCAACAAATYATAAATTAAATTTTTTTAACAGCGACGATATATTCCATAAAATAGGTATGATACTTATGTAGCAAATAATAGTAATAATATGAGCTGACCGTCTTTGCTCAGAATCGTTTTTCATATTATGTACAATGATTTTATATTATTGAATATTTGAATTAAAATCTAACACATCTGCTACAGACTACAGTGACTCACTCGAAGCCAACTGTACCACAGAGAGGTACCCACTTGCCCACACTTTTTATTATTGATTTTATATTTTATTACGCATACCTATCTGTATTTAATGGACCTATTATGTACAATGTACACTGTAAACAACGACTAGACAAGAGCAGCTCGGCGGGACGCGGAGTTCAACTCGTGTACATATATTACATAATGTAAAACGTTGTTATTGTTAATCGTTTTTTTAATTTTTTTTTTTCACAAACAAGTGATAGTAAACACTTTTTGTCTTAAACACCACCGTCGCACCATCTACAGTACTTTTAATATTAAAAAATTTAAAATATAATTAAAAATTATTAGGACGGCGGCATTTTTATCAACATTATCATTATCATCGTCGTCGTCGTCGCCGAAGGATCGCCTCGGCGGAATTACGTTATGCGCGCGCGCGCGACAACAACACTGCCGCGAGTCCACAACCGCTCCGAACGGCGAACATCGATGTCTCAACTGTCCAACTGTCCAAGCAGTTTTACCTCCAACACTGTGGCTTCACYAAACGCCGTGTCGCTGTCAGTCCGCCGTAGCAGTTCGTAGACGGTAGGTACACCGTAGTGCCGTACTATAGTACGAACTACACGGTTAATCGTTAACCGTTCGTCGCCCGCGCAGCTTTGAGCTCACGTCGCCGTCCTCCCCTCCCGCCCCATCGTTTGCTGCGGTCCGTGCCGTCTACGCGATCTACAGGCAAGATTTCGTCAGCTGTTATCGTTAGCGGTTTCCGGGGTGTTTGCCGTACCCACTGCACACTGCGAGTAGCGACCGCTCGCGTTCTCCGTTTTCACACCGTGTCGTTATTTCGTCGCGAAAACGGAGGTCCCAAATAACAACGATGACGGCCACGGAGGGACGGCGGCGCGACAAAATGCCAACGGAACAACGGCACCGCTCGCGGACGACGACTCCGTGCGGCCACCGGACGCGACTGAAATGCAACGAGACCCGTCGGCGGAGGCGGTAAGCACACTTATAATAATAATAATATTATATTACAGGTTGATGAGTCTGTGGTATCGTTGTTTTGGCGATCCGGATGGGATCGTTTAAAACGATGGTTTTCTGTCGTCTATCTATGTTCAAACTAGGTACCTACTTATAAATCTAGAATTTCGTTTCGATGCCGTCAACTTATCGGCCGTACCGTTMACTGTACTCAAATTTAGTCTGTAATGCCTGAAATATGAATACAAAATCTGTTCAATTTTTTTATATCTACATTGATTTACAAATAGTTAACCAACTTAATACTGAATAGGTACCTACTAAATAGAGTTGACTATTAATTGTGATATCGTAATTTGCCAACACTTATTTCCTTCTACCTAACAACTGTTTAGCTTCTGTTTTTTCAAATTTTTGTCAACAGAACAAGTTGAATGATACCCATAACAATTTGTCACACCTGCTATTTTCTTCCATACTACCTATTATTATGCAATGTCCAAACTAAAGAATTATGTTTTGTTTATTTATGATGCATTAAGTGTGCATTTGATATGTCAAATTGYCAATCTTTAATTTTTAAATGAAACCTAATCCCTGTAGACAGGTTGATCGACAGGTCTCTTACAGTATCTATTTGCTTTCTCGACTGACAAAATTATAAAACTATAAACACAATCAGCAAAATAATTGTGATTTATTAACATTCTACCTATTTTGTAATTTATTGTAGTTAGCACTTATGGAGGTACATTAATTGTTTTAACCGATTTAACTTTTTTACATTTTTAGGCAGACATTGAAATGGATTATGTAACATCAAACGCCAATACTGTTTATGGGTTGGACCATGTGACAAACATCATGAAATTCCATAGCGCATACCTCGATACATTTCTTAGTCTTCAAGAATTTATAATTTATGGGGAAGGTCCATTGCCTATTCAATATCGTCACTACATCGCAATTATGGTAAATATACTAAAATTGCTTTTAAATAATA